AGAGTGGGACACTTTGAGCCTAGAATATGGCATCTTTTCACAATATTCTAATTTTCTGAGATGGTGGATTTGGGTTTTCATGAGCTGTAAACCATAATGATCACAATTATGACAAATCACAGCTTGAACTATCTTGCTTTGCATGTAATGAGTCTATCTCATATATTAGTTCCACCTTTTAAGTTGCATTACTGAAATAAATGAACTTTTGCACGATATTCTAATTTTTCAAGTTTCACCTGTATGTTCTTTTTGAAGACCTCCAGAGAGTTTGGAAAAAAAGATCAAATTGGAGAACAAGGAGGAGTATTTTAATTTTGTGTCACAATATCCCTTGTGTGAAACAATCTGTGCAGTTCCACTTTTGAAGAATTATGGGTTACTTGAATATAATACCTTTTACAAGTCTATAATCCCATTAATCTTATTAAAGTTACTCCTTATCTTGCAGCCACTTTTAGCATCAGGATTCCTTGATCCGTCTTGTGCTTATTGCAAACTCTAATTTTGCATAATCAGAGGCTGCACTAACTAATTTTAGAGGGGAAGTGTTCAATCAGACTTCATGGTTAGTAGGAAGCAACATGGAAGAATCAGAAGCAATGTAATTTGTACTCTATTTTACTTCCATTTCCACAGTTACAGTAGGTCACCTTATACAATATTAAGTTAGAGTCCAAGTCAAAATTATTGAGCTTATCCGGCTAATCCAATATTGTCATTTGGATCTATATCCACATGTAATATAAAACCTTAGCCTTAGAAGCACAATGTTAATGTATTTTTCATAACATTTTATTTCACTATTGTAAGGAGGAAGTTACAAGTTAGAAACAAATTCATTTCTAATTATGTAGGTATAGTTTATCACTAATCCATTTAAGATGTTAGGAGAGCATTATAAACTATAACAATACACTTAAAATGAGATTCTTCAAAATAAATTACAAATGTAATTGCATATAGCCAAACAAGATCCATGCCTAAAATCAAACAAAATAAATTGCAGCCTTGCAATATATTTTATAATTTTGTTCTGTAACATGGCAGCTTTGAGTTTTGAACTCACAGTTCCCTTTAAGGCTTTTATTAGAATTCTTTTGCCTGCATATTTATTTGAACTGTCCTTAAAAAGTCTGTGCACAATTAACAAACATGAAAGGTAACATGAGAACTACTATACATTTAAGAAATGTATATGGCTGCCCAACTCACACTAGAAATAAAGTAGTAATAAATTTTTAGTATGTAGACAGTAAGGGAGATGACCTTTATGGACATGTACAGGATTAGTCACCTAGGTAATAGGGGCTGGAAGTATACCTCCATACATCACTGAACTATAAGAAAGAGGAAAAGGTTCAGAACAATCATACTTGAAATATTCTGTTACTATAGCCAATCTGAATACAAGTAGTTTTGACCTTCTTGTGGAGTTGATTTTCTTGTCTGGTCTATCTAACGGAAATGACTTATTAAAAGTTGGAGTCAAAGAGGGAGAAGGAGAAGAATGGAAAGCAAGCAAAGATGGATTTTATCAGTTTTAGGTAGATAAAGAAATGCAATTCCAGGTTAATCCAAGATCACTAAATAACCGATACAGCATAGAAATATCTTATACAAGAAGTTTGGCACAATATTGAATCCATCTACCTAGTACTATAGATACAGAAGAAAATCCAAAGGCACCAAAAAAAGATGACCAAGATAAGTCATGGGACGATGCAACTGAAGTCCTTGATTAATTGGTTGAGAACTTTGTACTGTATTACAGAAGCAACATTCCTAGCTACAACTTAGGATAAGTGTTGCCACACCAGCACCAGCAATAGTACTGTAGACAAAAAATTCTTCTACCATTCCAAGATTAACTATTAGTTCCTATAGCAATTCATTACTATACATTGTCCTGAAATGAAAGAGAGAGAGAAGTTGAAGCTCTGTTGGTATGCCTTCATTGAATGCTATTTAAAGAATTATCTGGTAGAAAGAGTCAATCTTACAGAGAAACTAATGCTTTTGTACGCTACCAATAAAAAAAAACCAACCTCGTGCACAAGGCAGCTCTTGTGTGCTGTGTTTTGTTTGATCAATCATGACAACTCATGACTCTGCCATTGTTAACCGTTTGCATTTTTATTCCAATACTGGTTAAACATTATTTTTGTGTATATTGTACTCCAACTAAGTCTCTCAAGAGGAATACTAATCAATACAATGATTACTTATAAAATCTATGCAAATTAATGGACAGAAGTTAAATATGACTGCTGACCAATTTGATCTGAATGCTATTTATACAACCGAGAAGCAATTTATTTCAATAATTACAATATAGTATTCTAATATAGTAGTGTTTGTGTTTTGGCACGTCATGTTATTAAGGGCTTACATGTTTCTTGTGCTGGAAATCTTTGGATGACAAATCTTTTACATTATTCAGACTGAAGCATTGTTCTCACAGCAACTGCTGAATTACATATGGCTTTCTAAAATGTTTTTGAAGAGCAGGTTATCAAACATAAGGTATTTAAACAACCAATTTAATTAATAAACTGGAAAGACTCTGCCTTAGGCTTTGCACAGCACAGAGTTGCTTTTTTTTAAAAGGAAAAAACTAGTATGTTTCAGAAAAGAACAATGGGAATACCCTATACCCACTTGTAACTAAGTCGGGTGTTGATTTTGTTTGCTTTGTGAAAAAACACTGGAGCTTTAGTCTGTCAGTCTTTAAGAAATACAGGAAATGATCTCTCTCAAACCCAGGCATTTCAAAGTACTTACTGTGGTACCGATGTGCCATTTCAAGCATGGCTGGTATTCAGAGATATATTTTTTTTCCTGAGTACAATTTCCTCAGGATAACAAAAGTTCCCATGACTCTATTCAACTTAATTCTTCTGCAAACAAACGGTGATTCACCACAGGCCCAACTCAAGCTCTTACCGACCGTCACCTTCCTGCCCGAAAGCACTTGTATTGGGAAACAGAAACAACTGTAGGCCCATAATCGTGTAAATTAAGAAACCTCGAACCTGCAAATTAAAACTTTTCTCTCCCTTAACTGGGTAAAACCCAGGAGCGAACGAGAAAAACAGCGCCCCTTCCGCCTGGGAAATATCCAGTCCGCCATCCAGCAAAAAGCATAACCAGAAGGAAAACACCACCCATAACTCAAACGCCTGGAGGGAAAAGCGGCTGGAAGGCAACGATCGATCCTTGAGAGGATAAAACTCCGGCGCAACCCACGCGGATTCCTGTTTATTAACTCTTTCCTGGGATTCGCCATATAATCAGAACAGTGTTTCTTTTAAATTCAGACGACTCCAAGCCGAGGAAAATAAAATACACCCGGTTCTCTCTCCTCGATTCATCCCCCCTGGAGGTTGAACTCTGGGGTCAAACCCACAAAACATCCCGCGACAAACTACCCCGGAGAGGTCATTTCCAAAAACGACGACCACCAAAACAACGGGATTCACGTTTTATGAGCCTTCAACACTCGAGTGTTTGCGCATAGCGACTTCGTGGACCTGACCGAGTCGTACACGCCATACCCCAACACCCCGCCCCCACAGCCCGAGTGTAGTGCTTTGCCACCTTTGGATGTAGTTAGGGAGGACAGTACGGCAGGAAAAAGGGCGCGTCGGGCGCTTCCCAATCAGGCTCTCAAATGAGGTTATGAAGGGCGCTGCGACTCGAGCCCCGCGCGCTCGCCTGCACGTCGGAAAGTGCTTAGAACGCGAGTCTGGAACTCTTCCCCCACCTGGCGCGCCCGCGCGCGCACCCCAACTCCGCCGTTTCGCTCTTCTACGCCTTCAATTAAGAGGCGATTAAAAGGGCGACTTAAAAAGAAAAAAGAAAACGCAGCACACGCCCACATTCCCAACAGGTAAGAGAAGGAGAAAGAAAAAAAGAAAACAATTACCTGGAGTAGGAAATAATTCGTTTGGAAAACCGCCCGGCCCTTGGAAGACGGAAAGTGGAACGGCCCCTGGAGATATTAATCGCGATTTAAGCAGAAACCGCGCCTCTCAATGCCCGTCTGAGGTGCAAGCTGCCCGGGAGAAGGGAGGCAGTCTCTGTTCTGGAGCCTTTCCTGACTCAGCCCATTTCCTGTTTCGAGAGGAGGCAGGAAAATCAACCTAAGAGGCGGCTTTTCTCTCCAGGGCGCGGCCGCTCCGTCGCCGCAAACAGGTAAGCACGCTCCTACCTCTCGCCTCCCACCCTCCCGAAAGGAAAGGACGAGGCATCGGCGAGAAGAGCTTGGGAGGCACCTGCCCGGAGAAGGAAGCGCCGCGTCCTCCTGGCTTGGCTTCGCCTCCGCCACCCAGCCACAGTTGCCACCACTGTTCAGCCAGAAGACACCACGGCCGGCCAAACAATAGAGAGAGAGACGGGGAGAGAGAAGGGAGGGGACTGGTCCGCTCAAAGGACGTGATTAGACGGCGAGGCGGCGCCCTTCGATCCGGACTCCAGAGAAGACGTTGGAGATCCCGGACGACGCAATTCGTGCCCTCAGACCCAACAGAGAGCTTGCTATTCTGAGGGCTAGGCGTCGAAATGGGACTACAAAGCCCAGAGGCTGCAGAGCGCAATTCACACCCTCAGACCCAACAGAGGGTTTGCTACTCCGAGAACGAGGCGTCGAAATGGGACTACAAAACCCAGAGGATGCAGTTACCCGACTACACTGCCAAGTGTGCTAATAATGTAACCGGTCACCCATTCGGAGCTTTGGATCATCCTCGGGCTAGGTCCCTGCAATCAACCTCAAAGCACCGGATCCTATTCGATCCGTTGGCATCCTTTGCACCCCTGGGCAGCTTTCAGCCCTCTTTTTCTCAGTCGCGGTCCCCAGAAGTGCAGACACGCGTGTCCCTGCACAGGTGCCGCCTAGTTTCACGTAGATTAGGAACAACAGTTACGGAAAGCAGCCAGCATTTCACGCTGGCCAATAAGTAAGTTCAGTTCCCCTCCATGGTCCTGACTGGAACAGGAAATACCGGTTCAAAGCAAAACTCTGATGAACGCAAGGAAGTCGAGTCAGGGGTGACACCGGGGCATTCGTCATTGTGTGGCTTTCGTTTGGCTTCAGCCCAGTTCGCAGTTGAAACTCTCTTGTGAAGGGATTGAACAAGTTGGAGAGGGACTGGATATTCACTTTCAAGACTGGTTCAGCCTGACAATGGCTATCTTAGGGTGATCAAGTTTGGATTGCAAAGATCCAAGTGACCCCTGAATAGCCGCTAAGGCGGTAAAGAAAAGTGTAACTCTTGGCTGACATTGCATGTCTGCCTGCACAATCTCACCAAGAAAGTAAATAATACTTTGTTACCCATTACTTTTGTGATGTTGTCTGTACAGGGAGAACAAGATCAATAAAATTCCAAGGCATTGAATGAGCCTGGGTAAGATGTATATTTCATATGTCAGTGCACATACTGGCTGACTTTGCTTTATAAAACACTGTAACTCTGGGAACATACATAACGTGAAGACCTGGGACAATCTCACACCGTATTTCCATAACCAGATTCTGCCATGATACATCAAGATACAAGCAAATTATATTTTGAGTTAATATGTTTGAATAGTCTAAGTTATAGAGTGGTCTCTTTTCTATTGACAGCCCTTGACTTACCACTGGTGGTTTTACAACTGTTTGGAATTACAATGGCCTCAGAATGGATGCTTTATACCATGTAAAGTACTTCTGGCCAGTGTAAAATGTCACACAAACACCCTCCATGGACATGTGACTGCACTTTGGACTCTTTTTTTTATGTTCAAATGTTTTATTTCATTTTTCATGTTCATTTCATACGTTCACATATATACTGTGCATGATTGAGGCCATATAACATTGAGCAATAAACACA